AAACTTTTCCATCTTTGCATATAATCTTGCATCTAAAAGTTTTTGTAACATATGAAAAATATAAAGTTGATGCTTTTTTTTGTTCTAAGAAAAGATTAAAATGTTGTTTAAATAACAAACGTCAAAATCATTAAAAACTCACAAAAAATGTCATTTATAAGATGTTGAAAAGTGGCTCATGTATGTATGAATCTAAAAGGCATGATACTATATTTGAAATGTCCATAACTAATTTAAAAAGTAGTCTTCTATTCATCCTCTTCTTTAATGCAGACCAAGTTGTATGCTCCTCATAGATTTATTTTTGTATAGATCTTTGCTTGATTGAATTGATGAAGATGTCTTGAAATCAGAGGTAGGAGATATATATTCTTAATAGTGATCTTGTTAAGTCTTCGATAATCTATACACATCTATTGAGATCCATCTTTTTTCTTCACAAATAAGATAGGAAGTCATGCTGAAAATTTTGAATGGCATATAAAATTTTTAGCCAAGTTCTCATCAATATATTCTTTTAATATATCCAATTCATTTTTTGATAAGTTATAGATTGGTTTGAATGGTGGTTGATTTTGTTCTTGTAGTTCAATTGAACAATCATAAGATTAATGTTTTAAAAGAATATCTATATTTTGTTTTTCAAAAATATCCCAGAAATCTTGATACTAGCTAAGAATACCACTTCATATCTTTTCACCATAAAAAATGAGCATGGCATATATAGCAAAAGATGACCCTTTTTTTGCCATAGGCATGAAAGCTCTTGCACTTACTAGTAAGGATTTAGATGTACTAGACTTATATATTTTTATTTAATTAATAAGATTTTGGATTAAACTACCCAAAAAATTAAGATTATAAAAAATCCAATCTACTTGAAGGTTATATTTTTTAAAAAAACAAACAACCATTTATAAATTTTATATGAATAAATTTAACTTTTTTAATTAAAGATATTTCTTATTTTTTGATAAAGTCTTTGTCTAGAAAAAAAATTGAGGCTCTTGAATCTAATAATGCAAAGAATTTGTGATTTTTAGGTCTTAAACATATATCTATTATTAAACAAGGTGAAAGATGTAAAAAGAGAATAGAATCTTTATTAAATATAATACATGATTTCAACCTCACCATCCTAATTGTAATTAGAAAAAATTATTTTTCAACATATTACATTTTTTGGCAATTGTGCTTCTCATTTTGTCATTGCATTGCTTCTTTAGAGAATGTTGAGTAATATAATTTTTTTTTTTTCAATAGTAGTACAAATATTCTTGATGATATCAAGTCTTTTCTTACTTTATGAGGGATTTAAAATGTATCATATTAATTTGTATTGGTTTCGGTCTTGATGAATAAGTTTTTGAAAAACTTAGGAGCTACTATTACTCAACTTGTTCATCTTCAGCCAAATCTTTGTTTTTGATGACTTTCAAATAATTAATTATCCTATATAATGGATTAAATAATAAATTATTTCACAGTTTTTGTTTTTGATATTATTAACAAGAAATCTTTAATATTATCCTTCAATCTATATCAAAATTGATTGATAAAGACTTTGTCATTTCAATCCACTTTGTAAAGGAGGTTTTAGAATAGAGCAACATATATGGTGGATGATTGTAATTCTTGTTAGAAAGATAGGAATTTAATCTTTATTACTCTTTTTTGATCTTTTTTTCTAAATATATACAAGAATATTTTTAGAAATAAGTTCAAATCATAAAAGAATTGTGAATCCTTTTCCATCAAAGGTGTAAATCAAGAAAGAATTTTTTTTCAGATAGAAGTGCACCTATGAATCCAACTTAAATAAATCCATTAGAACATTGGATGAAATGCAATTTTAGATAGAGCTTGACTTATTGTAGAAATTTTTAAAATTTTGATCTTATTCCATCAAACTTCTTAAGCATATTAATTCTTATCTTTATTGTACTTGTAGAAGCATAATTTCTATAATTTTGTTGTGAAGTTGATCTATATACTTCCTTCAACTGTACAACTTTTTAATATAGATAACTTATTTTATAGGTATAAAATTAGTGATTCCATGGTTTGTATTGGTAATAAAGTTAAATTTCCATCCTAAGAGTGTTGACAAGTTTATGAAGATTTGCAATAATTACAAATCTATTCTTACTTTTGCCAAGTATAGTATCCACAATATTTTCTTCTATATCATATAACTTACTAAATTTATAAGTCAAATTAGAAGAAAATAATTTGTAACTTCTAATATCAAATAAAAATTTCTACAAAGATGGATAATTTTCTCTCTTAAATAAATAAAAAATAGTATTAAAAAACTAAAAAATTTATTTAAAGGTGGATAATCCATAACCTTTAAAACAAACAATAGAAATAGAATAATTCACTTATTTCTAAAAAATACAAAAATAATGAGTTAGCACTCTTGTCAAATTATCAAAGAGATGAAATTCAATGAAAGAAATCTCAATACACTCTTGTGTTACTTGAAAAGATTAAAAAGTCATTCAAAGATAGAAATATATTGAATTAAAATAGCTATTACCAAAGATAAGAAGAGTAGAAAGTCTTGAAATAAGACTCAAGATTAGAAAGGCCTTGATAAGAGTGAAAAAGGATTCACTCTTACCTCCATGTATACTCTCTAACTAGGAGCTAGGTGGCAATATGCTACAGAACTTTTAAAAAGTGTTAACATTGCTAAATACATATCTTAACTTGCAAAGCAAGTTATTTATATGTCCGCCACATAGTTAGCTTATTCCATAAGCAACTTATACATGTATCACATGGCTAACTTGTTGACCAAATTTCTAGCCTATCAATTAATTATAAACACATGTAAAGTCAAAATAGTATCTATGAAGCTTCTAAAAAGCTTCTCTTAAAGTTATTATAAAATTTACTTATTTTTATCTACTTCTATTTAATCATATAGGTAATTATTTGAATATATATATATATATATATATATATATATATATATATATATATATATATATATATATATATTTATGAAAGATTGGCATCTTATTTCATAGATTAGATTCATGAAATCTTACATGTCATACATCTTGTAGGATATTGAATGAACAAGCTGCATGAGCAACAAAAGCACAAGTAATATTAGATTTTGTATAGTATAAAGAATCTTAGGGTCCACAACCATGACGCGATGGCCAAAGTCTAGCACTCAAGGCACATCATTTTTGTCACATCAATGAACCTATTTTCTTGGGATAAATGAAGCACTTACAAATGAAAAAAATTCAACTCAAAAAAAGATGAATCCTAGCAATATCAAAAGATAATAATATCCAAATTAAGATCTCAACAATAAGGTTTCAAGGCAAAAGCTATCGATACCAAAGTTAGAGAGTGATTTTGGTTGCAATACACTAAAAGTATTATAAAAATTGGACAATAATTGCAATGATGTGTATTCACAATGTGGATGTTTTTACAAGTAATCTTATAGTCTGTACTATTGATTATGCACATGGTTCCATTTATATAGTTATTAAAACATATCTATTACCACCTTGACGAATGGTGCCCATTGTGGAAAGATTGAAGTAAGAACATAGCAACAAAGTTTGAAAGCAATTCTTGCTCTAAAAGGTGAGCTCAATATAAATCTTCTTCTTTACAAACTCCCCATTCTAAGTCTACAATAGATAGCCTTAATCACAAAGCTTTAGTGATGAGCAACTATAGAAAGTATGTAATGAAAAAAAGTAGTATACAATTGAAAAACCATATCAACCTCAAAGACAAGGTCTAAGATGAAGTTTATAAAGTTTTATGGAAGAATTGATGTACTATGCAGATGATAAAGATATTAAGTTTAAGGTCCAAATCTTTTAAGAAGCACATATTTGAAGGATCAATGTTATAATGACATCTAAATAATATTATTTAAGAAATTTTCAATGATTTTGAGTGACTTCGTAAATATGGCATTGAAGTATATCACCACTTCAAATAAATTTTAAATAGTGTAGGAGAATTATGTTTGCACACTCTTCCAAAGAGAGAGTATTGAAGGTAGTGTATCTTGTAAATTCTATTAATATGGAAGATATTTCATATTTGATTACATATCACATTTCATATTAAAAATTTCAAAAACTATTATTATAGCACATTTTTAAAATTAATTGAATATTAATATTATTATTATATTAAAATATTAATAATAATAATAATATATCAAATTTTTATAATATATTATATATTATATAATAATTATTAAACTTTTACAACTTTTTTGTAGCAAAGACATAAGTTTTTACTAGTGTATATATATATACATATAATTGTGTCATTAAAAAATTTAAACCTAATAATAATCAAATCATATTCTTTGGATCTCAAAATAAAAATTTATATACATAATTTGTTTAGAACATTTTCATTTTAGGTTTACTAAACCTATTTAGACATTACATTGATGTAAAATGCACTTAACTGTTGTTACTACAAATACAAACATTATTACCTTTTTCAACAAAACACAAAGTTTGATTATATTTTTATATATCCCTTGAAATGAACACTGGATAATATGTATATTTTGAACAACGATTGGATTATATACATACTAGATATAATATGCCGAGGTACAGAAAATGCTCCATCATTCCGATAGCTTGGTAAGTGGCGATTGGGCAATAAACAAAGAGAACAGAATTGTATTTATTTTTTTAAGACATACTAAGCAAATAATATCCAATTATCAAACTTTACACCCAAAGAATATCTAACTATCTACTTACTTTCATAGAGAAAAGCAGATGGGATATAAGTGTTTGAATACCACGACCCCCACTACGACTTTTACTATTAATAATGACGCCAGAGTGGGTATTGTTTATTGTTTCCACTGACAACTTTGTACGATGGTGATAGACTTTAGTCATTGTGGATGAGAATTAAGAACTGTGGGTGCGGTGGACTGCCGTCATCGGAATAGACAAAGCTGTGGTCTCAGCATCCGGAGCTTGAGTGCGTTCCGAGGAAAAACGATAAGACGGTGGAATGCTGACGAAGCGGAGCGCACACTTACTCCTTCTTCTGCATGTACTACACTAACAATCCACCTATGCTCCGACACTGTCATGGTTTTTGATCACACAAATGTTCTGACTTCGACGCAGAATCTCGCAATATCATCACACTGCTACATATTTTTTACGTTCGGGACGAGGTCAGGCTCTCAGGTAGCAATGTTCACAGGGGCTGGAGTGGGTGAAAGTAGATGCTCTGTATGGGGATTTGCTTTTCACATTCTTTCCTCCACACCGTATGCCGCGCTGACCTGGATCGTGTGTTTTCTAAATCAGGAATTTGATCTCCACTGATCCGACATGTCCAGGTGTGCCATCACCACACCTCTACGTCCGGAGCCATGCCTCCTCCACTGGTGTTGTACTAGGTTGCCATTGACGCACATTCGTTGTTTTACCGCTACTCGTGATTGTAGGGTTCGTTGTTGGCGATCACAAGTATTGTTATTGCCATGATGTTAGGAAAGTTTATTCGGTTGCAGGTCTGCGCATCTTCGATCAGACGACTCTATGCTGTGGGTAACTCGCCATTTCTCGATATCTATGCTGACTGTAAGTTCCAATTTTCGTCCATCCCCGCAGGTTGTGTATTCTTCAGCCCTCTCTTACCGACGGTTGTTAAACAGCATCTTAGGTTGTTAATCTTCTTTGCCACCGATATTGCCATTTATAATTAGGTAATGAGCATATTATACGTTGATTGCTTGTTCCGAAGCACGCGTCAGGGTTTTATCGTGGTAGTTGCTTTTCTTGACGAGCCAGGAGGTACGACCGCGGCATTTGTCGACAGCGTTTCCTCATATTTGTGAAAGGAGAGTTGAGAATGGCTTTTTTCTGCTTCAGTAATACATGTCCGTAGTGGTGGACGATCAGGGTATTACTTTGTTGGAAAAAAAAAAAGAAGAAGGTAGCGTTCCTGGTTCGGGGATGGCACAGGAACATGTATATGGTGTTCTGGCAAGAGCATTTGAGCCCACCACCGTGTCACACTATCAAACATCGACTCAGAATGGCTTCAGCTTACCGTTTTATTCTGCTCGCATTCAGAGCATGATCCATCGTCGAAATGAGTTCCACAAGGAGGTGGAATTTAAAATTGAAGCATCTAAAGATCACTGGAGTGAGGTGGAGGAAGATGTAGAAGGTGAGGTGTCGAATCGACACGTCTTCGAGTACCTCAAGAAAAGATGGGGTGAATTCTTTTGGGATTATGGCGATAGTTTAGTTTTTGGTGAGAAGATTGCGGAGGGAGGCCAGGCAGAGATCTTCGAAGCTGCTGTAGTCACACGTCAGAACGTGTGCGAATTTAAGTATGTGGCGAAGGTAATGAGGAGAAGTGGTTCCCTGGTTCATCTGAAAAAGCAATGGCCTGAGGGATTGCTTCGAAAGATAGACAAGGGTTGTCCGTTTTCCTCAGATACCGATAGCTGTTGTTTGATATGGGGTGCCACATTGTTGGAAGATGGCAGATTTGCATTTTTAATGCACAGGTATTGGGGCGATTTGCGGACGCTAATTGATCTTAGAATGCAGCACAACATGAATCAAGGCCCTCCTTTCCGAGACGATTCTGCCGTCTTGATTATGTACCAGATTGCTGTTGCTATGGAAGAGTTGCATGACCAGGGAATTCTTCACAGAGACCTCAAGGCATCTAATGTGCTCGTGAACGTTACAGAAGATGATTCATATTCCTTCGATCCTTGGCACGATGATGGGTTTCAGTGTGCAGTAGCAGATTTTGAATGCTCTGTTGGAGTTGTGGGGACTGGATACTGGAGAGCACCGGAGATATTGGAAGTTTTGAAGGACCATGGTAACTTGCATGATCAACAAATTTTTACTCAGCAAGTGGATGTATATAGTTATGCAATGACTTGTTACGAGATTTTAACAGGATGCATCCCTTTTGAAGACCGTCCACGGACCAACCCCGAGTTCGTCCTGGCTGGAGAGAGACCCCAATTACCTGATCACATACATCCTGAGTTGAGCAAATTGATAAGTCGATGTTGGTCGGCAGATCCTTCCCAAAGACCGACATTTACAGATATTGTGAAGGTAATAACTGAGATTGATAGATTGTTGTCGGCTTATAGAGCCTCTCCAAAAGCTTTCATTTGCAAAGATTGTGAAGATGCTCGATGAAATGTATTCGCCAACAATCCAAAAAGAGAATTCTGTCTGTTGATCGTCTATCTCTGAAACGTTGGATGAAGTCGATGACACTGGAGGTCAGCACATGTATTTGCGGTCTGGACCACAGTGTAGTTCCCAGAAGCTTCTTTCAAAATGTGATGTCACCTCTAGTGCTGCAATATGAAACTTTCATCGAGATTATGAGCAATTAACTCGCACGCTTATTTCATTTTGAATATCTTCAGTAATACAGCTACGCTGCAATGAAGGGGGAATTGCGGATATGTACTAGCAGTGTCACTTGCAGCCACGGCATGCAAACTGCACCTTCGGAATTTGCACAGAAACATAGAGACATATGCTAAGTAGCCTTCGTAGCCGGAGCTTTTGACTTACTAACAAGTCCACTGTAACCAATGGGATCATACCGTAGTACACCTCCCTTTAGCAGTAGCACATCAACAAGAGTAGATTTGCAGGGGCAATGAGCTACAATGGGGAGAGTTGGGTTCCAGAGTACAAAACATGAACACAACTCTCTCTTCGGGGAAATTCTTCTGCGAAACAAACCATGTTTTCTGGGCAGATGTAGGCGGAGAGACGGTGTTTAGACTGTTAGCCAACCGGGGGCATCATGGGAACTTAGCTCTCCTGGTTTCATGCACATGCTATCTCTCTCTTCTCTATATCAAAATTGAGTTAGATGAAAGGGTGCTTGGCAACAAAATCGTCAAACTGCATGTATCTCACCATTCAATGGTTTTGTATAATTTCATTTCATACAGATTGTTTCCTCCACTATTTTGCAATGTTAGTCTAAATTACTCTCAATCAATATATTTGTCAATTATTCAGTTTAAATAAACCCAACATATTTAAAAGAATGCTAGGGTTAGCCAATAATATTTATAAGTTGTAATATTTTTTAGTTGAAGGTAAAAGAAAACCTATATTCAAAAGCAAAGAAAGAATTTAAAAGATAATATATGATCTCTGTAAAATGACATTGGACAATAGTCTAGCTTAATAACTACCTACAATTCAAACTTTTTTGACATTGGTAAAGTTAACTCGTCTAAAAAGCATCCACACTGTTTAACGAGGATATTATCAATTGAAGATATTTCTTTTTGTTTTTGTATACTTGAATGATATTGGTGGCCGTGACACTATCTTATTTATTAAAGAAGATGAGAAAGATGAGAAGATGAAGTTTATATTATTGTAAAAATATATATATATAGAAAATAACAGTTGAAGGTCAAGTCCCATTAAGGAAGTGACGGTACTTCTTTTTCGTGGGATTGTATTGAAATTTACATATTGCTTAATATTTGAAGAAGTGAAGATGTAGGTTTTTAATGTAAATCACAAGTCACATTTATTTACTGCTTAAATTTACTGTGAATAAGTTGGTTACATTGAAAACAATACAGAGATTGATAAACAATCGAGACAGGATATTTAGTAAGTGGCATGTTTTGCAACTAGAGTTTTATATATTACGTAATTGAACTCAGAATCCCCGATGAATCAATTGCTAATTTGGGTGATGAAGACTTTCACGTTGAATTATACTGTACTAGAGAAATTAGCTAAGGAATGTTGGAAAAAAAAAATACAAAACAAAACATAACGAAACATAACGAAACAGAATAATGAACACATTATATCTCTATCAATTTCATGTTCAGTGTACTCATTCTCAAACCCATATTGGTTATTTTTCATTGCTAGTGACTTTTGTTGTTCCTGCAAAAGGATGCAATTTGCCTTCACAGACTCGGACATAATTAACAGACAACAGGGCAAACATATATGGTTTATAGAATTACTTTCTAACAACCCAGGTAACGTTTTAACACACAACCCGATCACGACTTGAGTCATACCCACACATTCTTGCCCTCAATTAAAGCAGAGGACTCACCCCTCCAGTGATCAATCGAGACAGACAAGCATGGCAGAGGTTCGCTGACAAAAACGAAAAGCGGAGCGGACTATGCACTGCAGAGAAATTCATGTTGGTCACTCGTCAGATCGCATGAGCAGTAAAAGCTCCAGGATGGGAAGCAATTATTAGCACACATCCACATGTGAAATGGTCATAACTTGATGTGTATTAAAGCTTCGGGGAGCAACTTAGAGATAAGATGCATGCTCCTCAGCAATGGCAAAAAGGCTACAAAGGATATGACAGTTACAACGGCACTACCCTCATCAGCACAGAATGTACCCCTATAACTTCATCACTCTTATGCTGATGCCTTAACCTTACCGTACACCTTCGCCTTCTCAAGGGATGTTTGGAAACGTCCGTGCCCGAATTTGGAGGAGGTATCGATGAACTTGAGCTTGATATCCTCCAAGGCGCTACGAGACACCTGTTTGTACAAAGACTGACGCAGAGTAATAACCCTCTTCTTGGGACCCATCACACCACCCTTGATCATAAGGTAATCTTCACGAACAATACCGTAGTGGGCAAAGCCTCCCATAGGAGTTATCTCCTTTTCGGTCACGTCGAACTCGGTAGAAGCAGAGAATGACTCCTTGTCAGCGGACTTTCCTACCTTGTACACCTTCTTGTTCATCTCTGTGCGGTGGTGGTATCCGTTTTGTCCAGCTCTGGCGACAGTAAATGACACACGGGCTGGATGCCAGGCCCCAATACAAGCAACCTTCCTCAAACCCCTGTGAGTCTTCCTGGGAAGACGTGTAACTCCCCACCTGGTAACCACACCCTCGTATCCATGACCGCGTGTGACACCGATGATGTCAATCATCTCGTCCTTGTTGAAAACGGCGTCCACAGGCACGGGCTTCTCGAACAGGTTGTATCCGAAGTCTACTTTCTCGGCTATGGTACCTCCATTAACCTGAATCTCTGCTAAATGAGCCTTCTTCTGCTTAATACCCTTGAGCTTGCGTACCTGTGTATGGGCAAGGACACGAATCACGCTAGCGTATTTCTTCATCCTCTCCAACTCAGACTGCAAGTCCCTCTTGCCCTCCTCAGATTCATACCGTTTGCTGTACTTAGAGAAGGCTTTCTTCTTCGACTTGTACCAGTTCTTGTAGAACCTCCTCTTCACCTCGTCGCTCAGGTGCTGAGCCCACACCGTGTTCAACGACCTCAACCCGCGAGGAGTCTTGATGTAAGCCACCAACCCTACGACGATGATGGGTGGCGTCTCGACGATGGTGACGGCCTCGCATGTCTCCTTCTTGTGCAGCTTGGATCCGGGCTTTTCCACCTCGCGAACAATGTGAGTCATGCCGGCCTTGTAGCCAAGGAAAGAGGTCAAGTGGGGCTTCTTGACGGGATCATCCTTGGGAAAGGTCTTCACCTTCCCGCGGGAGCGTGAAGCCCTCTTGCGGGGCAAAAACCCCAAGGACCCGTGACGAGGGTGCTCGAACTTCCTGTGAGACATGGCTGCGACCAAGCCTCCTAAAACAGCAACAAGAGAAACCTACACTGCGGCTAGAGATGCACGCTGAAAGGAATGGCCGATACGAAGGATAACAATCTATAGGGCTGAGGATGTCGAGCCCTAACTTCATCCCAAGTAGAACGAATGTCGTTATCTTATAAATCAACGTCTACATTCCTGATTCATTCATAAGCCAGACTTGGATGATCCCCACCCGGGCCTTCCTTGCTGAGATTTATCATCCAACTCAGGTTTAACGATCCGATGTTCCCGATGAACCTAAAAATACTCATCCAAATATGCCGGTTTCGCTGAACATGCACCCAGTAGCTCGTACTCTAACCTTTTTACTTCATCCGTCCGTCTTCCATGCACGTGTTTGGATATGGGTGCTGGGTAGCTGCCCCAAATTTTGTGAGCAGCTCACTGCCATGTAACCAATTGTTGGGAGTTTCTTAAATAATGGCAGCAGGGGTGCGGTTAAAGGTTTCTGTTTTTAATAACACATACAATTTATTTTTGAACAAATAGACAGAAATAATTGTGTAGAGCTTATTAAAATGTTCTGGAAAGAGGAGACCATTTAGATTATCCGTTCATCTAGTATCAGGTGCTAGCAAGGCACCAATTCTATTTCGGCTCAAAATTTGATGCACATGTTCTTTATCCTTCAATACCAAAGCGGAGAAGGATTTGTCACGAAAACGGACTCGCCCCAGAGGAATGCCTGGTACGCGTCTTTATTCAATGAAAGTGATGAAGTTGGTTGCATGCCAATCAAATTACCCTAAACAGTAAGTGCGAACCAGCCTTCTTCGTTACATCCCCTGCCCCCAAATTCATCTCTCCCTTCCACAGAGCAGGAAGAGGCGCATGGTGTACTGACTATCAATACAATTTTTTCCTTTCACATAGCTGGAGCAATGTAATGCAGTTTAATGAATGCATGAACGCATGTGTGAACAATAGAGAGCGGGTAGATGTGTTCATTTTTCCACGTCTATGATGTGATGAGGCTACTGCATGACAAATGTAGAATGGAGTGATGTGACTGTATCTGTAATAATCTCTTTCAACTGTGATAAATAAAGAGAAACACAGTTGAAGAGAATAAATCATGGAGTACTAGGAATTAATTACAGTTGACTGTCCAGAAATATTCTTTTATAACCGACTGACCGAGGGGATCATAGAATTTGCGTTTCAGACATTGCGTTGCATAGCAGATGTTAGAGGGTGAAAACTGGAGAGTAGATCATTGAAAATTCTGAGTCTCGCATACATAGTGTACAAATACATCATAGGAGTGACAGCCTTGATGGTGACGAAAGGAGTTGCAGAATGAAGCTAAGCACGTTATACAAGACTAAGATCGACATTGCTGACATCTCCTTTGACCTTTGGGTCCGCAACGGTATACGGTGGTTTCAACGAATGGAGCAGTTATCTACTTTCCAACAAGGTTGCTCAGGGCAAAGATGGTGTTGTGACCAGGGTCAGCAAGATGGGCCAACAAGTTATCGATTGGGCCAGTGTGGGTGTAGTTGGCCTGAACGACGGCGCCCAGCACAGCAAGCATAGCCAGCCTACCGTTTTTAATTTCCTTCGTTCTCAATTCCTTCAACTTTTTAGCATCCTTGGTCTGGCCCCAACCCAAGGGGTCAAACCACAGACCTCCAGGGTAACCGACGTCGGTGCCAGTGAGTTTGTTATTAGGGAACACAGGGTCAACGTTAACGCACCCCGGATTCACTATGTCCGCCCATCTCCTGCCCTCGGCCCATGCGAACAAGATCAGTTCAATGACAAACAGGGTCGTGGGGTCGGCGAAGTACTGTTGGTCACCGGCAACATTCCATGAGGGAGTATTAAGGATGCCAGCCTTCGTGAGGGCTTCGGGAATGAAAATTCCTGCAGCTCCAAGCATTGCCCATCGGCAGTGTACAAGCTCGGCTTGCACAAACCATTTCAACAGCTCAGGATCCGATCCTGCAGGCAGGGAAAACTGAGTTACTAACTTGAGCCAACCAGACAATAATCAGAGCATAACACCCAATGCAAAGCACACGTAGCTCAACGCAAAATACTGAAAGAGTCCTTACCGAGACCGAGGGGGTCGAAGCCAAAATCTCCGGGCAGGCTGCAGCAAAGAGGAATACCACAGACTATCAAACCGATCGGTCTCGACATTCGAATCACTGCTCATTCATCCCGGCATGCACATTTTCTGGGAAAGACTACGGGAATTGCACCAATAAGATTCAGTAAGGACACAGCCATTGAGAAGGAGGTAGGGCTAGGTTGACATAATACCTGCCATCAAGCCATTCGGGAGCCTTGCTTCCGGGAAACCACAAAGGCCTGTCGTTGTTGGGGAGGGCAGGCTCATTGGAGACTGGGGGGTCAACCTGAGGAGAAGTCGCGATCCTAGTGGTCCTTCGAGCCCTACCTGCTAGCAACGAGGTCCTCGCAGGGCCGACATTGCTCACCACCTTGCTGTAAAGATACCAAGCACGAGTTTGATGAGAGACTTCAAGGTGAAGTAGCGCTTGAAACCTTCGCCGGGAACGTCGTAACAATGAAGCTACTCCTACTGGCCCAAAAAAAGTTGTCGGGATAAACCCATCGACGAGGAGTCTGATCTCCTTGGGTGGTGGTCAACACACCGACCAGGCTCACATAATACACCGAATTCTACACCCAATCTTCGTTTCCTAACCATGCCGTCGCATCCCAAAGTAAACCATAGTACTGTGATGATCTAAGACCGGTAGCCGACAATCACACTGATCTGGAGAGAAGTTCCCTCTCATCTTAACGCCGAAAAACTTGTCCCTAAAAAATGCAACAATGCAACACCCAACGTGACAGGGACTGGGTTTCACAAACCTGGTGGATGGACCGGCAACAACAGCAACGCTGGAGGATGCGCACACAGCGGACGCCATGGCACTAGTGGTAAACAGGAAGGTGGCAGCCGGGAAGGTGATTGGTGGCAGAAGCAAGGGATTTGAGGAAGCACGGACTGACGAAGGAGGTAGGAGGGCATGGACAACTTAGAGCCTGCGAGGAGGGAAGGGAGGAATTGGCAGGCGGAGGGGGATAAGGTGGGGGAGGTCCAAAGCAGGCACACCTATTGGAAGATGCTTTTGCTATCCCCCTCTCCCCGCCCCCATTGGCCACCCTTAGCGTTGCCCTTCGGACCCCCCCCCCCCCACACCAAAGCTTAGCACTCCCCGTCCCCGTCCACATCCCCTCTCCACATCCCCATCCCCATCCCACATCCTTCCTCTACTGAGGCCTGGCGCTCCAGTCCTTAGTGCTCTATTGATACCCTCCGCAACTCCTTAAAGTATCGTGTGCCACACATTGCAATTGTCACCATGCGTCTTCACCGCTGCCCCAGGAATCTACCCTCTCGCAGATCTCCACGTTGTTTTCGATATCTACCACCTCAATTAACTACTGTGGCCATTTATGTTCCTTCATGAACTGTGATTGAATTGCACAAAAGAGCTACTTCAGAAAAATCTGGATTGGAAGCTTTAGAATTCAGACGCGTCAAATTACATGTTGTTTGTAATATACATGCATAAGGTCTCAGTTGTTTTTCAACTATTTCCTGCAAGTACCTGATATCAAGGAATATGATGCTCAAAAAATACTTCATACATCATTCAAAGTTATTTTAGTGAAATTGCAAATTATTTTTCTCTAAAGTAGAAGGATAAGAAATAAAATAGTAAGTAGATGAATCTAAGATATTTTATGGTCTCCATTAATGTATTTGAAGTGATTAAAATATCCATTATCAAATAATATTTAAAATTTAAAGTTGGTGCTATCAGATAATATACAAACATTAATACAATATCTGTATATGTGCAAAGTAATTTACTGTATACCTAACAAAAAAAACAAATTTCTGCACAAAAAAATGAAAATAATAGCAATGAGTAGAAATATTGAACTAATGATTCCTTTTTAAATATTTAACTACATTAGCATCTACATCAATTATATGTTACTATGTTATTTCAAATTAATATATGAATAAAGGATCACTTGGATTATTTTCTATCTAATACCATGTATAGCTAGATATCTATTCTTTTGCAACATTATATATGGATGCTTGTAAAATTCCATCTTTATGTATAAATTTTAATACTAAATACCAAAACATGTATCATATAAAATTTATATTATATATATATATATATATATATATACATATATTGTGATTATAATTATAGTATCATTTATTTTGGGGAACATTAAATCACCTTACATAAAACTTAAATCAATTTAATTTACTTCTATCATTCAATGTATATGACTACTTCTTAAATTTAAAAATAGAAAAATTTATGAATTTAATAAACAATGACAAAGATGAATCCAAGCTCTTCTTTAAGAAGGAATGAATTAGGATTCTTTCTTGCATCACTTTGTCCTAGTTCTAACTTTGAGGCACTCTTAAGTAACCAATTTGAGCATACACACTATAAAAGCACATTGTCATTCAAAACCATCTACAATTTCTTTGTTCTAATAATGACATAAATCATAACAAAACTCTAAAGAAGTAATATACTCTTAAAACATTGAAAAGAAAAAGTAGACAAATCAAAGATAGATATAATATTAAAACTAAAATAGCTATTACTAAATATAAAAAGATTAGAGAATCTTAAATTAAGACAAGAATATAAGAAAGGAATTAACAAAGATGAAGAAGACTTTATTCTTACTTCTATATATATTATCTAATTAAAACTTACAAAATAATGTTTTATTAGTCATCCAATAAGTATCTAACTTATAAGAAAAGTTTTCTACATATGTGTTAGATAACCAACTTAAATCATAAGTGGCCAACATGTGCAACATCTAGCCAACTTATAAAACAAAAAGTCAATATGTGCAACATGTGGCCAATTTGTAAAACAAGGGATCAATATGTATAATATGTAATCAACTTGATGGCAAAGTTTTCAATCTATTAATTACCTAAAAAAACTTGTAAAGTCAAATTTACATATATATAATATCTAAAAAGTTTTTTTACAAGATACTTTCAAATTTATTTTTTTATTTTTATTTTTATTTAAATTTTATTATTCATATAACTATTAATGCTAATTTTAGTATTTATCATATTATGCTTTCTTCTAGGATCAAGTACTATAAGAAGTAATAATCACATATTAATAAGTGAAAGATGCAGTAATTTGTATTCACAATATATATATATTAATCTTTGTTCCTTCTTAAAGTAGTTAATAGATCCTTTCAACCATTAATAGTGTCTTATACTAAAGAAAAAGACCATCTTCTTATTTGATCATTCTTGAGGCCTTCATAACTTATTTCAAGTAAAAAATTTGAATCACTATAAAGAATGGTTCTTACTTCCAACAATTTTGCTCTATTTTGTCAAATTTTTATAAATATGTATATTAATATAGATAAAAAAATAGAAATATATAGAAATATTCAAGTTTGATAATATCTTATAGAGTAGCTTTTTAAAAGCTTCATAGATGCATATTTAACTTTATATATGTTTGTAAGTGATTGATAGGTTGAAAATATGCCCAATTACTTGGCTATATGTTGCAAATATTGATAATTTGTAGTACAAGGTGGCCAAGTGATACACATGTATGAAACTTATCTTTCAAGTTAGACACATGTTGCACAAGTTAGACATGTGTTAGAAGTCAAGGATATGAATTTCAAATATATATATATATATATATATATATATGTATACTCTTATATCATTCAAAAAAACTACAATATCACTCAAAGATGATAATATATTAAATTAGAATGGCTATTGCCAAAGACAAAAAGACTAGAAAGTCTTGAAATAAGACTAAGGACTAGAAAGACATTCATAAGAGTGAAAAATACTTTATTCTTGCCTCTATATATATTCTCGACTAAGAATTATGTAGTAATATGCTATAGGACTTCCAAATCATGTTGACTTTGCTAGACACATATCTTAACTTGCAAGAAAAGTTATCTATATGTGGACCATATAGTTAGCTTGTTCTATAAGCTATTAACACATGTAATACATGACTAATTTGTTGACAAAGTTTCTAGCCTATCTATTAACTTCAAATATGTCTAAAGTCAAAGCAACATCTATAAAGCTTTTAAAAAGCTTCTTTATAAGATATTATAAAATTAATCTATTTTTATTTATAAGTACTTAATAATATTAGAATAAATATGTATGTCCAATGTCGGAATAAAGAAAGTTTGCTTCAAAAAAGTGCTAGATTTTTGACTCTCACTAATTACTCAATCAAATTTCAAGATAAGAAAATATCAAGTTTATATGTAAAATTATTCTTATAGCGGCCGTTAAATCAATACAAAAGCCTTAAGTGCCAAAGATCATCCAAAATATGATAAAAATATTCTAAAATCTTATATTATCTTATGAAAAAATCTCCTTGAACTTCAAGAAATCATATCTCACAATCAAACTATTTAAATAAGTTCAAATTTTATTTGAGGTATTGATATGCTTTAAATAACTACAAAAAAAATTTCAATTAAAAATTCATTATAAATCTTAAAATATTACTAAAATCCTAATAGTAGCTTCAAACCCTTATTTATATATAGTCACATGTAATTTTCTTCATATTTCACAAACTAAACATTTAAATATCAAAAAAATTGGTATATAGCTTTTTAACCTAATAATTTATACTATTAGAAATTTTGAATTAAAACTTGCCTAAAAACTCAAGATATGGCTTCAATCATTACTATCAATAATATAACTTATTTATTATATTTGAATTATTTGTACTATCTTTAATTTCCTATATTTTCTTCATATAAATTCTAAATATAATAACTTTTCATATAGAATATAGATCTTAAAATTTCCTTTGCAATGGCATCTTTTAATTTCTAAAAATTACTGTAAAATTCTTTGTATCTTAAAAAAATAATAATATATCTTAAATTATTCTTTCACTTCAAATGGCTATAACTTCTTTATTCTAACTCCAAACCTTCTAAATTTTATACAAAAATTATAGCCTAAATTCTAAATCTTATAATCTTTGCTTTTGATTCTTAAATTTTTTTTTTGAAATCGCTAAAATCCTTGTTATAGTTGCAAACAGCTTATTGAAAACCTATTGGTCATGACCTTTGACATACACTTCTTACCTTCATCCATCCATATCTTGATTTATTCTTCCAAATAAATTTTTTATTAGTTTGAATCTTCATCTTTGAGCTCCAATCTTTTCTTAAAACTTTATATTCAATATCTAAATCTTATATCTAAATTTATATAATTTAAATACTATAATAAAAATAGATAAATTTCAAAATAATTTTTCTTATATAAACCTTCTTTAAATCAACATACTAACCACTCTAATATATGTTAAGTTTTATAAACATATTATATACTTTAATTAATTTTTACATATTGTAAACAATTATAATGTAATATTGTGACATTACTCCCCCTTCTAAGGATGAATTCTACAAGGAACGGTCATCATCTTTCATAAATCTTACTATTCTTCATCTTTGTTTTGATAGATACTATCAATGAAAAGCTTTAATTCTTTTTGTTGTATTTGCAAGATTCTTTATTGGCTCCCATGTGCATTTATTAATATCATATCATTACTAATGGAGAAGATATTTTAATCTATTTTGGCACTGTCTTGAATCTAAAACTTCTTCTACCTCAAATTCTTGATCATTATCCATTTTTATTGGAAGATGAGGTATTTTTCTTCTTTTTGAGATATTTACTATTTTATATGGCTCAAGATAAGACATGCAAAATATAAGATGAATCTATATTGGCTTTAATAGATATAAATGATAAGAAATAGAATTGACATGTTTATAAATATGAAAAGATGCAAGCTTACAATAGTTCAATTTGTCTTAAAGACAAGTAGTCTTGATATTATGATAAAGTTAATATATTTTATTATCCACATTAAATTATAGTTATTCTTTATAATAGGCATTTGTATAGATCTTTTGTCATTCTTGAGCTTCTTTTAATTACACCTTCATTGTTGCATGTAATTGTAACA